CAGTATTGCATATGCATGATTTTCAGGGATGAGCACCTTGTATTGGATAACAATACAAGTTAGGGAGCTCCTACATGGGGGAAGATTGCTTTCCTCCCTCTCAGCATCCCTTAGTTGCAGACAGTCTTTTATCCGAGACTAGGGCCCCAGAGTTTTCTCCTGTTGGGGTTAGTGTGTCTATTGTGTTGTGCTCAGGTCTTGCTAAGACAGCTACATTGTTGAGGTTTGGTGGGTGAAGCTTCCCTGTAATTTTTAGGAGATACAATTTCATAGCAGATTTTCTGATCCTCTGGCTCTTATCTTTCCATCCCTGCTTCCTCAAAATTACTTGAGCCTTAGGCACAGGAGTTGTGTTTTAGATGTATCTGTTAGAGCTGGGCAACTCATGAATCAGTTGTTCTTTGCATTTTATTTGTTTAACTAACTAACTAACTAACTAACTAACTAACTAACTAACTTACTTTTTTTTTTTTTTTTAAAGAAAGGGTTTCTCTTTGTAACCCTAACCTTGAGTGCTGGGATTACAGTCATGCACCACCATATTTTTTGTCTTTTTAAAAAATACTTATTTTCATGTGTGTCTGCTTGAAGGTGCAGAACTCCTGGAGCTGGAGTTAGACAGTGATGGACTGTCATGTGGGTGCTTGGAATTTCTCTTAACTGCTGAGCTGTCTCTCCAGCCCCTGTTCTTTGCATTTTGACCAGTTGTGTCTTTCTGTACTGATCTCTACCTGTTGCAAAGAAAGTCTTCTTTGGTGAGTGTTAGGAGCTCTACTTACCAGTGGGTATAAGGATAAATATTTGGAATGCAGTTAGGAATCATGCTGGTGTAGTAGACAGAGCTGGTAAGTTTTTCTCTAAGATCCATGCCCTCACTAGTTGACTGCTTTCCAGTACCAGGCGTGATTTTGCTCCTGCTGAATAAGCATTAAGCCCAATCAGACAGCTGTTGGTTATTGCCAAGATATAAATGCCGCTGCCGCACCTTTAAGGATGTCTTGCCATGCTGGGTCTCATGCATCCCAGGCTTTGAGCTCTACTGGTTACTTCCTTCAGGTTCTATGAAAGTTAGTCCTTAGAAAAGGGTTTTTACTCAGTTCCAGTGCATGCTGTAAATGTTTACTCAGTTCCAGTTCAGCAATCAGGACGAGAAATTTGACAGCTGAAAACTGTTAGGGATTCAGGACTAACTACACATTGACCATACCAGATTCAGATTGATGGAAGTTTCCTGAATGCTGAACAAAACTGACTGGTCAGGGCCATGAAATGGTCTCAGACTGTGACACCAGTCTGTTTCTAAGGCAGGGATTTTAATATGAAAAAAATGGTAAGCAGGTGTAGGAAGTGAGGGGGCAGCATTACATCATTTTGACTAGCTAAACAATTTTGTTTCAAGTGTACTGTGTTGTATAGTACACTTGAACAGAAACAATTCAAGACTATCCCAGGCCTCTTAATAAGACCCTATATTTAAAAAAAAAAAGTATGTGTATTAGGATAAATCTCAAAGGTAGAATGCTTACTACCAGACACACTGTTCTGGAGTCACTTTTCAGCCCTGGGAAGGAGAGCGGGGTTGGAAGAGTAAACTTCAACACTTAGAAATTCTCATTCAGTGATCAGTTCCTTTTATAGTCTCATCCTCATCCCCAAGCATTCCTCACTTGGAGTCTGGGGTTTCAGTGTCTGTAGAGTTACTAGATATAAACCGTGATACTAGTCAGTTTCTGAAAAAAAAAAAAAAGGGGGGGGGGGGGAGGACACCCCTTCATGTCTGACACACCCAAACTTTCTTCTAGGCTTTCTTACTTCTACTTTGGATACCCAACACAGCTGCCATTCCAAGCCAATGCTGGAATCTTCTGACCACATTCCCACTGTCACCTGCTGTCAGAGGGAAGCCATGGAGCAGCAGTACCAGCTCTGTGTGAGGCAAGCCTGGGATTCCGCAATCCAGGCACCAGAGCCCAGAAACCTAAGATACCTCCGTCCAGGGTATTCGGGTGCCTGGCCGCTGCCTTTTTATCCAAAGCTGGGACATCTCTCTGAGGACCGCTGGAACTTCACCATGCAGCTGGGTGCTGAGCCCTGTGGTCTTCTGAGTTGGGCCTGCCTGAGACACATACCCAGAGGGCAGAGCACCCCAAAGTGGGAGGGAGAACACCCTGCCTGGGCTCTCGTTCCTGAAATGCAGAGGGAGGCAAACGACTCCCCAGAAACGCTGAACCCTTCCAGCAAGCTTGCCCAGAGGCGATTCTCCAAGCTTCGTTCTTTCAGGTCTCTGCACTCTAGGTAAAGACCACTGGAGCTGAGGAACCCAATGTTGGTGATTGACAGAGATCCCCTCTGCCTGCTCCAGGTCAGCTACCACCTGGTGTAGGGAGTCTTGCTGATGGCCAACCCACTCCCCATACCTGTGATCCCCAACTTCCTCCTCCACATTCCCATGGTGACCAAGATCCAGGAGATTTCTTCAACCTAAGTGCCTCATTGGATGGCTCTTTGGAAGATGGGACAGATGCCTTACTTACCTAAGCCTTCTGCTTCTTTACGTATCATAGAAGGGCCTTTAGACATGTTATGTTACACATTTTAAACTATCTTAATAAAACACCAACATTTTTTCTATGTCCTTCTGCTTTTGGAGAAAGACAGCACTTCAGGGGCTTGAGGTTATCTGTTGGCTGGTTTCAGCTGCCCTGAGAACTAACTCTGCCACTTTGGAATGGTTCCAAACCCTTTCTTTAGTTACTTCCTTAAATAAGTTTATCTGAGGAGATCTGGGGTATATTCCTTCTCCTTTGTAGAATGTCATTTCATAGCAAAGACCCCACAGAGGAACTGAGGACCTCAGTCATTGTGACTGTTGACCCTTGAGCAACTTGGGGCTAGAGTTTTTGCTGCTGTTGTTTTGGTTTCTTGAGACAGGATTTCTCTGTGTAGCCTTGATTGTTCAGGAACTCACTCTGTAAACCAGACTGGCCTTGAAGTCATAGAAATCTGCTCTTGAGTGCTGGGATTAAAGGCACCACCCCCTCAAGGATTAGGGTTTATTTTAGTTTTTAATTACTCAGGGATTTTATTAGAGCTAGAGATATAGCTTGATGATAGAGAGTTTTGCTGGCAGCAAAACTAACCGAGCTAGGCATTTGCTGTTTGTTATCCAATATATTTTGACACTGGGGAAAGAGTCAAATGCAGTTCCCTCAAGATAGTACAAATGCCAGCTTTCCTGCTAACATGCTGTGCTGGGGTGGTTTTGCGAAGATTAAAGGTAGAGCATCATAGGTATCTTTTCATAGGTTCTCTTGGGCCATGCCTTTCTCATGGAAGTGGTAGTGGGTTTTCTGATGGAAAAGATAACAATTTTTCTCTACTCTTTCATTTGTAAAGCAATGAAGCAATCATAGTGACCTCCAACACTAGCAGGTATTCTGTCCTGAGAAAGAAGAGGAAGAATGGGAGAAAGCTGCCCTCAGGTTGGGTAGATTCTTCCAAACATTTTCATTAGTGTCAAAGTCAGAATATTTCACTAACTTGGGGTATTAAAGCAGAGCAAAAATGTTTGACCCTACAGAACCCATCCCTGGCATCTAATAGATGAGCCTTATTCTAACACATCAGGTCAATACACTCCTGTAAGCTCTCTCCTCCATAACACTGTGTGTTTGTCAAGGTCAGCAGTTTGTTTCCCTGTAGAAACAGCTCTGATCCCATTCATCCAGCTCAAAGCGGCCTTCCTTAGGTGGCAATATAGTTGTTTGCCAGGAGTTGGCACTGGAAACATCTGCCACCAGTATCAGTGGTTTCTCCTTCCACGGTGGCTAGTAGGGAGTCTTTCTTTGCCAGCTGCATTTCCGTGGCAGCAACCTTAGACCCACAGTTTCTTGGTTACTGCACCACCTTTTCTCCTCCTCCTCCTCCTCCTCCTCCTCCTCCTCCTTCTCCTCCTCCTCCTCCTCCTCTTCTTTTTTTTTTTGTGAGATTATTTGTGTTTTTGTTTTGCATATTGAGTTTCACTTGGATCTGTATTCTTTTTGGCATATTTTCCTGCCACAATTTTGTTTCAGTTTCATGTTCTGAGTTAATCACATTCTGCTTCTTTACCGACTTTGTGGTGTTTGCAAACCACTCAATTTCAGAGCAGCTAGCTTGCTGCCAACACAGTCTGGAAGAATAAATGCTGGGTGTGCGGAGAAGTGCAAGAAGGCGTTGCCTCGTCTATGGATGGGTCTGTTGCTCTCCTGCTTCTACAGGGGCTGAAGCCATGGAGCAGACGGTCCACCTGAGTGTGAAGCAGTGAGGGGGCCCCTGGCCCCTCTGGTCCTGAGCTGAGGTCTCTGGCAAACCGGGTGTCATCTCCACCAATTGGAGGCGGCAGGCCGGTGGTGCTTCACAAGGCACCTGGATTCAGACATCTTGACATCCTGCTGTTGTCACTAGGTGGTCATGCTCTGGACTGAAGGGGCTGCTCCAGAGAGAGTGTCTGCAGGGTTCACCTCTACTGTGGGAATCTCTTTCCTGGGGGACAGAAGACAGGCGTCCAGCCCAGCTTGCTCAACACTGCTCAGTTCTGCACGGAAGCCAACTGTGGCAACCAGCAAAACTCAGAAACAAGCTGAAATCTTAGAAGTCTCAGCTGTCAAACGAGGAAAGATGTTTCCCAAATCAGTTCTTTCTGTGCCTACTTACTACCTAGGACACATGATCATCCCAGTCTTCATGGAATGGGGGCTGGGCTATGGCAGTATAGTGAGCCTACTTCTCAAGGCAGAGGTACTGCAAGCCCCACCCACACCCAGACACCAGTGTGTCCGTGGATGGATTAAGCTGATCCTTCTGCATTATACCCATACCGAATATTCATAATTTTCCTGAAAGGTGTGGGTACTAAGCTAGGACCTCTAAAACCAAACTTATGAAAACTCCACAAAAAATATGTAAAAGGCTTGAATACCACAAAAGTTTTAGCATACATAAGAACAAATCAAAACCTGCTGGCTTCAGCACAGATATACTATAATTGAAAAGATACAGAGAAGACAGCGTCACCCCTGGGAAAGGATGACATGCAGACTTAGGTAGCATTCCAAATTTTTATTTAAGCATTATCTGTCTACAAGTCCAGCCCTACAGAAGGTACTAGAAGGAAAACTTCAACCTGCAGAGATTAACCACACTTAAGAAAACACAGAATAAATAATCCCAGACTTGAAAATCAAAAGATGGACACTCAACAACAAAATAACAGGAATCAACAAACACTGCTCACTGATGATTGTCAGCATCAATGGTATCAATTCCCCAATTAAAAGACACTTAATGGATTAAAAAACAAGATCCTTAATGTGAAAGATAGCGATCACCTCAGGTAAGAGGATGAAAAAAGATATTCTAAGCAAATAGACCTAAGAAGCATACTGGTGTAGCCATTTTAATATCTGACAAAATAAATATGGGCTAGAAAAATATCATCCTGAGTGAGGTAACCCAGACCCAGAAAGACAAATATGGTATGTATTCCCTTAAATGTGGATATTAGCTGTTAAATCAATGATAATCAAGCTACACTGAACCACAGAGGTTAGGTATAGAGTAAGGACTGGGGTGTGGTGGATAGATCTCCCTAGGAAAGGGAAATAGAACAGATATTATGGATAGATGTAGGGTTGGGAGCTAGGATGGGAGGATCAAGAAGGTAGGGCGAGGGAAGAAAGGGGATGAGGGATGATAAACAGGGAGGGACAGCAAAAATTAATGGCCGTTTGAAGGGTACTAGAGATCCCCAATACAGTGTAAGTTCCCTAAAGTATATACATGTAAGGAGTCAATCTAAATGAAATCATCGTTTAACAGGGGTGACAGAGCCCCAACTGGCCATCTCTTATCACCAAATGAAGCCTCCAGTACTGAGTTTGGGTTACATCTAATTGAGTTGTTGGCCAAAGGTATCCTTTGGGAACCCTTAAGCAAGCCATGCTGTGGCCAAGACTGTAGGTTGCTCTCTACAAACTGGTGGCAAGGCTCCATTGCTAAAGACAACACCTATACAACTCTTTGAATATGGAAAAGTGGAGCTGGTACCTACATAGAGCCTTCATCCCTACAATCTGGTGTCTTTGGTACACGAAGGTACCTACCTAAAGAGAAAAGTAAACACCAACTGCTGTAACAATTTATATTAGACTCTTGAAGGCTTCTTTGCCTTGGCTGGTTCCCAAATAATTGTCACAAAGAGACTCTAATTTATTTTGTAAGTTTGTAACACTAGAGCTTCACAGATATCAACCCTCCAAGCTATTTTGCTATCTCCTAGCTACATATTCCAAGTTGCCAATTAGTCAGCCTGTCTGGGTTGTATCTGCCTCATCACTCTTTCCTCATGACTACATGCTTATGGTTCATTCTGTCCAATGGTGACTTTCTTCTCTCCAACATCCTCTCCTCCTGATACATCTTCTGCTCCCTCTCCTTCCTCTTCCTCATAGGTCTTTCTGACCCCAAGCCCTGGAATTACCCTGCCTACCTCTCTTCTGCCCAGCCCAGGCTGTCAGCAACTTTACTAGCCAATCAAGGATAATTGGGGGTTGAAGTTACGTAGCATAATTTGGTATGTGTGAGAATGTGGTCGTCTGGGATGTAACCAGATCTTGGGGGGGTGGTGGCAATAATTAACAATTAAATACATAGCACCAGACCAACCCCCCAACAACCAACCCATCTACAAAATCCTTGGATGGACAATGGTGTCCTGCCTGTAAGATATGCTAATACAATGGTCAATGGTAACACAGAGCCTGTGGAAATAACCAAATGATATCTGATTTGACTTAAGACTCACTCCACAAGATAAAACCCTTATATGACATTACGTGTTGACTAAGAATCTGAAACTAGATATCCCAGGATCCTAGTGTAAAACCAAATGCTACTGTTCTAAAAGACAAAAACAAAACAAAAAACACAATGAAACAACTCCTAATGCCATTCTGCTATACTCAGATCAGGGCCTTGCTCAGCCATTACCAGAGTAGCTCTCTCCCACAGCAGACTGGAACTAAAATAAAAACCCACAGCCAGACAATATACAGAAATCGAGAGACATCAGAACACTTGCCCTAAGTAGGATGTCTCCATCAAATCTCTCCCCTCAGGGCTCAAGGATCCCTGCAGAAGAGGAGGCAGAAAGGGTATAAGAGCCAGAGAGGATGGAGGACACAAAGGCCTTCTCAACACAACAGGTGTGGTACATATTTGGATTCACAGACCAAAGCAGCATGCACAGGACTTACATGGACCTGCACCAGAGGGGGTCCTAGAGCTGAAAGGAGAAATAGCCACAGTTGCCATCCTTAACCCAGAAAGCTATCTCCAATTTATTACCACTTACAAATGATGAAAATTTGGTTTTCTCCAGGGGAGTCTCACTGGGGAAACAGACTGCTCTTAAGGAAAGGCTACGTGCCTAACAGTAGATGGTCAACTGAAAATAAATGCAGTGGCATCTTTAGAGGTCCTTTGTCTCACAATGTTGATTCAGAGAGTTCCCTTTTCTGCTTTTTTGTTTATTTTGTTTTTTTTTTAATTTTCTCTTCTTTTAATTTTTACTTTTTGATCTCTCTTTTTACCATACAGGTCTTTTGTGTATATATTTTGGCTTCCAGTTTTGTGCTTTGATGAGTGTGCAAATGAGGAGTCTCTGCTTCTATAACTGTTTCTTGTGCCCTGTCTTGGGTTCTTTCCTTTCTGTTTGTTTGTTTATTTTATTCTATTCGAATGTGATTGTTTTTGTTTTATGTTATTATGTTATATTTTATTATCCCTTAGAAGCCTGTTTGTTTTCTAATGAGAGACAGAAAGAGTGTGGACCTGAATGGAAGGGGAGGTGAAAAGAAACTAGGGAGAGTAGAGGGGGGACTCCCTGTCCAGAATGGAAGTTTCTGGGGCTGAGCAATGGCTTCCTCTGGAAAGTCTGTTTCTCTAGGAGTTGACAATCATGAACATACCAAGAGCAGGACTAGCTGTTGTGGCATGAAACTCATGAAGAATGAGTGTTCCAGGCAGCTCTAACCTTTTCATTGCAGAAAAAATTTAAAGTATTTCACTTGTCAGTGTGTTACAGCTCTGAAGGGAAAGGTACCCTGGCAGTCAGGGGCCAAGAAACACCACAAAGTCACATGACACAACAAACCTCACACAAGATATTTATTGAGAGGTAAAAACCCAGGAGGGTAGCTGCCTTGCTGCAGTTAGAGGCAGCAGGGAGCTGAGCAGAGAACAGGGCTTATGTAGGCTTTCTTTTTTCTTTTTTTTAAGATTTATTATTTATTATGTGTACAGTGTTCTGCCTGCATGTACACCTGCAGGCCAGAAGAGGGCACCAGATCTCAGTATAGATGGTTGTGAGCCACCATGTGGTTGCTGGGAATTGAACTCAGAATCTCTGGAAGAACAGACAGTGCTCTTAACCTCTGACCCATCTCTCCAGCCCCATTATGTAGGGCTTCTTGAGGGGCCGAACTTTCCAGGGTAGCCTGGGATTGGAGAGATTATATGTCCTGACCTTGGGGTAAAATCAGGGATTGGTGGGATTCTGTGGCCTGATCTTGAAGCTTAGGAGTTGGTAGAATTTTTTGTCTAGGGATTGGTGGGGTTTTTTTTTTTTTTTTTTTTTTTTAATTTTTCTTGGGCCTGAAGGTCAGGGTCAGGGTGTTCTTTCCTAGGCCTTGGTCTCAGGGTCAAGTCAGGGTCAGGGTATTCTTTTAATGATTCATGAAGAACTGAAAAGTAGTAGATATTCCCTCCAACTGAAATTCTGCCTTAAAGCATATGACATTACAGATAAGAATGCAAACTGTGGGGCTGAAAAGAGCATTTCCTGCTCTTGCAGAGAACGGGAGCTCTCACTACCCTCAGTGGGCAGCTCATAACTCTAGTTAACGCCATCTTGAGTACTCCACCTCTTCAGGACCCAACAGTGCTATGTTCACATATACAGACGCACATATGGTTTTGAAATGCATATGTTTTTAAATACACACATGCATTTTGTTTGTCTGGTTTTTGTTTTGTTTTCTGGGATTTTCTATGTGCAACTTTGGCTGTCCTGGAACTTGCTTTATAGATCAGGCTGGCTTCTAATTCACATCACAGAGATCTACCTGTGTCTGCCTCTGTGCAGGGAGGGTGTGGGAAGTGGGAGAGGGTTTAAAGGCATGTGCTGTCACCATATAGCTATATGTCATCTCTTAAATTCTCAAAAATAAATAAATAAATAAATATATATATATATATATATATATGTGTGTGTGTGTGTGTGTGTGTGTGTGTGTATTTGTTCTTTTTTTTGTTTGTGGGGAGTTTGGGTTTTGGATTTTGTTTTGTTTTTGTTTGTTTGGTTGGTTTTTATTTCTTTGGGTTTTTTTGAGACAGGGTTTCTCTGTGTAGCCTTCGCTGTCTTGGAACTTGCTTTGTAGACCAGCTGGCTTTAAACTAACAAAGATCTGCCTGCCTCTACCTCCTGGGTCCTGAGATTAAAGACGAATGCCACCACCAGCTAGACAAAATTAGGTTCTTAACATTATATTAATGAAAGAATGCTTAGATGATTGCTTCCCAACCAGCAAGGCAGGGCTGAGAACATAACTTGGTGGTGGAGACAGCTGTTAAGGAAAGACAGAGACAAAGAGCTAGTGAGAAGTTCTGCAGAGGCAGAAGAAATACCTACACTGTAATTAATAAATAATGCTAGAATTTACTTCTATTTCATGAAGATTAAAACCTTTGGTCAAGAAATGGTAGTGGGGATAGGTAGGTGGCTCAGTGGCTGAGAGCTGCTGAGGAGGACCCAGGTTCAGTCTCAGCACCTGTATTAGGCAGTTCACCTGTAACTTCAGGCTCTCGATGCCCTCTTCTGGCATCAAGGGGCAACTACATTCACGTGCAGAAACACATGTGCACATATGTGACCATGAAGACACAATTAAAAACAAAACACTAAAAAACAATCACTAGAATTATGATGAGAAAATTATAAAACTTTTGTTTTTACAACTACTTTTTTTTTCTGTAAGTCAAGAATTGATTTTAAAAAGTCCTA